CATAGGGGAAGTAGTTTCCATGAGCTTGTCTAGGGTTTCTTGATGCTGATTTGAGGAATTGGGGGGCGGGGGGGGTGTCAATCAAGGGCAATGTGAGGGGATTTGATCTAGGGTTTTGGATAGCATACAGGAAAAGGGGGGGGGTCCTTGAGGGGGTCTTTTGATGTGATTTTATTGTTTACATATTCAGAGATTATATGCTATTGTTGCAGTGAACTGTAGATGCAGTGTAAAATGTGATGAAAGGGTGGTATTTTAGTTCATATTTCAGTGTAAAAATGCCGACTTTCCTTGTTATGCAAAAGTACATGGCTTTTTTAGATGAAAGTCAGCATTTTTACCATTGATTTGTGATGAAAGGGTTGTCTTTTAGTTGATATTCAGTACATAGTTGTGTTTGAAAATCATGTACAGATTCAGTTATAGTTTGATCACTGAAACTAAGATTCAGTTGCACTGAATATATCATCTGTCAATTGTTGCAGTGACAAATGGAGAAGCTAGCCAGTTTTTCTCAGTGGAGTTTGAGCACAATGGAATTTTCTTGGGGGAATGCATAGGTGGAGAATTGAAGTTCTCTTACATTGGGTGCAGTCATGAAGCTTTTGACTACTGTCATTCAGACACATGGTCACTGGGGATGATCAAGTATTGCTTGTCAAGGATGGACTATGACCCTACAGACCCTCAAATCAAGGTGTACTGGATTTTGCCAGATAAAGACTATGGTGATGGCCTGCTATGTGTGGACAATCCAGATGTTATAGCTGCTATGGTGAGGTCCAGCAGAGAAGCCAAGACATTGGATTTGTTAGTTGATGAGGAGAACAAGATTCAGACATTATATCCTGAAATCATACTAAAAGGATGCCCAACTGCAGATGGAAATGAGGATGAAGAACAAGGAGAGGATGCAGATCATGATGCAGAGAATGCAGAGGAAGGAGAGGATGCAGAGGCAGATCATGATGCAGAGAATGCAATGGAAGGAGAGGATGCAGAGGCAGATCATGATGCAGATGCAGACAATGCAGATAATGCAGTTGAAAACAATGATGGAGAAGAAGAGTTGAATGAAACTGACTCAGACTTTTATGAGAGTGACTATGATTGTGAAGATGGAGATGATGATTTGTTTGCTCAGAATGTGGACAAATCATTGGATGACAACAATGAAGAAGAGGAAGAGATATTTGAGGAGGAAGATCCACTTGATGATGATGATCTCAACCTGTCAAAAGATGAGTTGGAGAAGTTGAAATATACATTCAGAACATTCAATGCAGATATGGACATGAGCAACCCAATCTTCAGGGTTGGGCAAGTATTTGGAGAAATGAAAGAGCTAAGGGAAGCAGTCACTGCATACACAGTCAAAAACAGAGTGAAAATCATCAAAGCTAGAAATGAGGCAGAGAGATTCATTGGTGTGTGTCAACCTGATTGCCCTTGGAGGTTGAAAGCATCTAGAGACAATAGAACAGGAAGCATTGTCATCAGAGAGTACAATGCAGAGCACACCTGTCAGAAAACATGGGACTCCAAGTGCTTGACAGTGAAGTACCTGACTGAGATATTTATGGATGAGTTCAGAGACAACAAGAGCATGGACTTGGGTACATTTGGAAGAAAAGTTCGGCAAAAGTTCAAGCTTAATCCAGTGAGAATGAAGCTTGGTAGGGCCAGGAGTGCTGCACTTAAGATCATACATGTTGATGAGAAAGCACAATACAGCCAGTTGTGGGACTATGGACAAGAACTGAGGAGAAGTAATCCAGGGAGCAAATTCATTGTTTGCACAACCAAAGTGAAGGAAATAGGTGACCTGCTTCCAAAAGATCACCTATCTTCACTATATTGGTCCTATGATGCCTGCAAGAGAGGTTTCCTGAATGGGTGCAGGCCAATTCTATTTGTTGATGGATGTCACCTGAAGAGCAAATACAAGGGTGTGCTGCTTACAGCTGTTGGGATTGATCCCAATGATTGCATATTTCCAATTGCAATGGGGATGGTGGAGGTGGAGTCAACTTACTCTTGAGAATGGTTTCTCACCACTTTGAAGAATGATTTGAACATCATTAACACCTCCCCTTTCACTATAATGAGTGACAAGCAAAAGGTGTGTTCCATTTGTCCAAACATGCTGCTGTTGCATATTTCCATATGGTGCTATTGTCTCACATGTTTATGAACTAATTTTGCAGGGTTTGATCAATGCTGTTGAGAAGATATGGCCAGATGCAGAACACAGATTCTGTGTTAGACATCTTTATCAAAACTTCCACCAGAAGTTCAAAGGAGAAACACTGAAGAATATGTTGTGGGGCATTGCTAGGTCAACAAATGTGGACAAGTGGACCTTGAACAGAGAGAAGCTGAGGGCACAAAACTTGGAGGCATATAATTGGTTGGATGGCAAGCCCCCCAACCAGTGGGTGAAAGCATACTTCAGAGATTTCCCCAAGTGTGACATCTTGCTGAACAACATGTCAGAGGTGTACAACAGGTAAACTTCAGTTAGTTCACTTTTCTAACAAACAAGTTTTGTTATGTTTAACACATAAAACTTGAGTTGAGGTAATCTTGCTGTGTCACTGAGTTCTGACAAAACTTTACTATATATCTCTTGCAGCTACATCTTGGATGCAAGAGAATTGTGTGTTATATCAATGATAGAATGCATAACACATAAAATTACTGTGAGGCATGACAAAAAGTACAAAGAAGCTTCAGTGAAAGAGACTGTTGTCATCAGTGACGACGACACGGATGCAGACGAGGTTGTGCTCGTTGCGCCGGTCGCCGTTGAGGGTGGCAGAAACATGCCCATCGACGTCGAGCTCCTGCCGAACGTCGAGCTCCTGCCAGAAGAGGTGAAGGTTGAACAAGAAGAAGAGGTGAAGGAGCCACAGCAAAACAAGAAGAAGGCGCCTCTGAAGAAAGAGGTGAAGAAGGTGCGCCGCTCCATCCGCCTGCAGCAGCTCAAGAACTGAAGAAGATGCAGAAGAGGTGAAGATGCAGAAGAGTAGTTAGGTACGTTGATCTATATGTTGGCATATAAGTTATCTATTTTGAGCAGTCCATGTTGAACTGCTGTATCTATGGCAATCTGGTGTTCAAGTGCTGTTGAACTGCATGTTCTTCTCTGCCCATGTTGATCTGCCCATGTTCTTGTCTGCTTATGTTGTGCCCATGTGCACACATCCTAAAATAGAATGTACTAGGTGCTCACTTCGTGCCAAATATGCAAGTTGTACTACCTGAAGATCCCTGGCCCCCTTCCAAATGGTTAACTTAACTGAAATTTGCAGTGTTAAGTTAACTGAATTTTGCTTAAGTTAACTGAATTTTCATGTCAAACAAGAGAATCATTGATTTCAGTTAAGTAAACAAGCCACTGATTTCATGCCAAATAAGAGAATTTTGCAACAGAAATTTTTAGTTAAGTAAACAAGCCACTGATTTCATGTCAAATAAGAGAATTTTCAGTTAAGTAAACAGAAGACTGAACATAGCCACTGATTTCATTTCAAGCCACTGATTCCAGTTTGGAATGTTTACAACACTGAACATAGATAATAGGTAGCCACTGATTTCATATAATCAGTACAGAGCCACTGGTTTCACCTCTCACATCATGCCAAATACTAAATTACCTAACTTACTACACAAAACCTCTTATCACTAGTGCTACAACACCATACAACAGTGCAGAGCAGCAGACCAAATAGGCTAACCAAATTTCCCTCCTATCCCTAGTTCTGATCTCCTTCTTGTGCTTCATGATCATGGCCTTCCTTTCTTCCCTCAGCCTCATAATTTCAGCATCCTTGTCAAACACAAATTTCTGAAGAGCCACATTCTCTTCAGCAAGTTTGCCAATCACCTGCCTAGGTCTCCCCTGCCATTCTTTGTCCACCCACTTCAGATAAGCACATGTATCATAACCCTGCAAAACACACCAATTTGTTCAGTACAACAATGGTCAGATCAACCTATAACAACTACAGATAAACAACACACTTTTTTAAACAAAAGTTGGGCACTTGACTAACCTCACGAGGACAAACAAGAAATCTACGACCATAGTCATATCCATCAGAGCAAACTCTTCTCGCAGGGTTCAGTAAGTGGCAACAATGGTCACTTTTGTCAGTGCCATTGAAAGCAGCATCAGGAGAGGATAGAGGTATACCCCAGTCAAATTCGGGTAGGTTTTCAGTCCCCTACCATGGCCATCAAATCAAATGTTAGCATCAGGAAGCTCGCACTCATCAGGAAAGCCCAAATTCATGGGCATTCGAAGCAAATCGGCGAGGGGAAGGGGGACACGCACCTTGCAGAAATCGACATCCATGTAGCGCACCTCTCCGGTGATTTTCGCCCAAGGCTCGCCGTCCTTCGTCATGTCGGCACCGGCGAGGTCACATCCATTGAGCGGGAGAGGGTGGCTTGAGGACGACGACGCCCCTGCTCCACGGCGTCCTGCCTGCTGCTTCCCGCTCAATGATGTGCACCCCTTCATCTCGACAGGGCGGCGGAGACGGCTGCCAACGGGGAGGGCGGCCGAGAGGGCGGCGGAGACGGCTGGCGTCGAAGGGGAAGGAGGAGACGGCTGGCGGCGGAGAAGGGCCACGGCAAAGGGGAGGGCGACGGCTAGGGATTTACGAATGGGGAATCGATGCAGAGAGAGAGAGGGCGAGGGGGCTTTTTGTAAAATACAGAGAGTGCGAGGGGGCTTTTGTAAAATGAAGGCGTGTGCCAAAATCCAGCGTGGCATGCCAAATGTCGCGTCCGAAGCTGTTTTATATAAATTTGTTATAGCAGACAAGTTGGAGGGCTAGTTTTGTGGGGTTTTTTAGTTCTTGTATGAAACTGTTCCCACCCCTAGGTATTAACTCTTGCGAAAATTTATCATTGTGTTCCACACACACGAGCGCCCCCTAAAACACGGTCAACCACGCCACCCAGACCCAGGAAGGATCCAAAGCTGCTGCCGCAGCCGGCAGCGGCGGCCGCGATCCGAGGCTTTCCCTTTCCCACACCGGCAGCGGGTCCTACCACTTTCTCCGGCGACAGGCTCCATCTCCACGGCCGGCCGGGCCGCGCCCATCAGCCCATGTGGTCCCCTCACAGCGAGCGAGCGAGAAGCGCCACCATCATTCGAAACTGACTAATTTACTCAGCAACGTTAATGTGGCTGGCAGTTACCCTTCTCCCGTGGCGTCCAGCTCATCAACACCCGGAACTCGAACGAAAACCCCCCGTCCGCCCAGGGGCACCACCGTAAACTCGCCGCCGAAAACCCCCACGCCCCGATGCCTTCTTGGGCTTTAGCGCTCCCCGAGTTCCCGTAACCTCCCGTGCTCCCTCCCTCCCGCCCCGGCCTCATCTCCATCCCTGCCGTGCCAAGGTCCGGCGCTGCGTCTCGGGGGCGTCGAGGTGGTCGGATCTCCGGTGAACCTCGGTAAATCCCCGCGGCTGCCCGAATCCCTTGTATCGTTTCCTCCTTTCCCGCACCGTACGTGACGCTGCTTGTCCTTGTCGCGGTGAGCGGAGCGGCGACTAGGAGGGGACTGGGCGCTGCCTCGTTCCCGTCGCCGGAGGATCTAGTCCTGTAGCCGCCGCGGAATTTTCGTTCCTCTCCGTCTTCCTTTTCCGCCAGCGGGAGATCGACCCGTACACCGCTGCTTGTTTTACAGTGTCTGCTCTGCTCCGTGAAGAGCTGAAGACGCAATTGATCCCGTGCTCCTTTGACTGACCCCGCTGTGATGCCGTTCGTCGCGTCATGCCATGCCTTCAGTCTACTTGGATCCAACGCGGACAAAATTATGTCGAATTTACTCGTGCTTTCCGTTGAGAGTACAGAGAACGCAAGTTAGCCCAGTTGTTTCAAGTTACATCTATTGTATCTTGGGCAGACAGTTTCGCCCTCGTGCTCCTCAGTGGGACTGTTCACATGGCGATAGCCCCCTTGATGCCATATCGCTCTCACGTGTCTATTATCTAGCTGTGTCCCCGCCATGTTTCGTATATCCCGGATCTTCGTCAATAATGTCGAATTCATTGAGCAGTGTTCCTGATGGCCTGTTACCTTGAATAATAATGTCGACAGGAGCATTTTTGGTTGCACGTTTGCGACTTCTTGCCTGAATCCCGAAGTTTTAGATCAACGTGGGGTTCAATGTTTGCTGTCCATTCTTATTGTCTGCCTGAGATCGTTCCCCAGTTCACTGAATCAAGTTGCCCGACCTCCCTATCAGGCAGGCTCACATAGCTGTAGCTGCCATGTCCTTTGCAGTTGGACATTTGACACCCAAGTGCCAGCCATATTATTCTCTCAATAGGATTCTCTTCTCGGATAATTGGTAGCTACGAGATCTGATCAACGTCCCTGTCGGTCTGTTTCTTAAATATTTGCCCGGTTTACATGCTATACTCATCATTTTGGTCTTAAGGAAGCTGGCATTATGGATTGTTGCTAATGTTTCCTTGTGATAGCATGCATGCATGTATTCATTCATTTTTGAATTGCTTACTGAAGAGTGGACGTTTTCCTCTCCAGAAAAAAATGTCACTGTCTTTCATTCCATGTCACTGTTCTTTAGATAGCTAATCATTGTCAGTCATGGGCTTCCCACAGCTCTGGTCCCCCGGGGTTTCTCATCCTATTTATCTACTCTTCCTGCCATACACTCGTAACTAGGATATAAGTTTTGCTCATTTGAGAAGGATTGATATTTCCTTGATCTTCTTATATAGTGTGTGAAAGACTTACACTGTTGGCCAGATCATTGCATATCCCCTAGCTAATCTTTCCCTTGCACATGCAAGTCATTCAATCGGCGTTGAAGTACAGTCCTGAGCTTGTTTTGCCAGCAACTTTATGTATCTGCATTTTGTTTAACTCACCCTTTGATCCTGTGTTACATTGCTATGAATTCTGAGACAATTGCTTTGTGGTTTCTGTAGTAAACTGTCTTACTGATTTGTGTTTGAGTTGTTTTAAGTACTTCACTTTTGTTGTGTGTATCTTGTTCTCCCTTCTCACTTGTATATCCATTTGAATCATTGTCAGGTCTGCATAACAGAAAGGATTTTCTTATATTCTGGTGAAGATGAAAGGAACTCAAGGGTCACAGTTAAGGAAATCCCGTTCATGGTGGTGGGATAGCCACATTAGTCCAGAAAACTCCAAGTGGCTCTCAGAGAACTTACAAGGTAATGAATAATGTTTCTCAGACGTTCTGTTCTTGTCTTACATACTGGAATTAGATACTTTGTTTGATCTAAATTTGGATACATTGTTGTTTGCTAGACAATAGTGATGTGCAGGCCTTCATTCATGTATGATTCCAGTCTTTTCTAGTCTAACAAGCTATGCGATGTTGTTTTCTGAATATAACCTTTCTTCTAACTGAACAGAGATGGAGATGCAAGTGAAAGAGACGCTGGGACTTGTTGAGGAGGAAGGTGAATCCTCTGCAGAAAAGGCTGAGGTGTATTGGCAAGAACGACCTGTGCTTGTTGCCCACATCAAAAAATTCTATCGCATGTATCGCACCCTTGCTGAGCGGTACGACAATGTAACTGGAGAACTGCGCAAAAATATCCCATCATCACTGCAGCCACATGGCTCTTTTGGTGCCCCTGAATCAGATTCTGAGACACAGTCTCCTCCATCTGCAGAGCAAAAGCCAAAAACTCGATCAGATTGCTTTGATGTGTCCATTGGCTCTGGTGTGAGCTCTGACGTATCCAAGAAGGGGAGTGATGGGTCTTCATCGTCTTCAGAGTCTGAGTCAGAGCTTGATGAAAGCAAAGAGGAAAATGGCAACAGCATGTTTTATGCCTTGAGCCAAAGAATTATTGAGCTTGAAGTTGAGCTTCATGAAGCAAGGGGGAAACTTGATGCTTTGGGGGAAAAGAATACCATCTCAGAAGTGTCTGAACATGACGAAAAACTGCGGGAGGATCTTGAAGAAGTCAACAGTGAGAAGGAAGCATTGGAAGCTGCGCTGTTGGCGAACAAAAATGAGACTGATGGGCTGAAGGAAGCAATGGCCTCAGCAGCTAGGCAGTTTGAAATTGAATTAGCGCATCGTGATCTTGAAGTTGATAAGTGCAAGCAGGAGCTTGGAGAACTTTCAGCGAAGTATCTGCATGATAAATCTGCTCTTGAGGCTGAGATTGGAATGCTCCAAGGAGTTATCACAAATTTTGAAGGTGAGCTAGCAAAACTGTCACAGGAGAAGTTGCAGCTCGGGTCTCGGATTGAAGAGCTAGAAGAGGCAGCATGCTGCTTAGATTATTCAGCTTCCGAGGTGGTGAAGCTGCAAGAGGCAATGAAGAATACAAAAGCAGAACTGGAGGAAGTTTTACTGGAGAAAGAAGAAACCATCAAGAACCTAGAAGCACAGCTAGAAACTGCCTCACAAGAGAAATCAATACTCCAGGACAGTATTAAGGAGCTGGAGAGGGTGGTGTGTGATTCTGAGGAAAAACATTCACTGGAGAAATCTGATCTTAGCGCTGAACTTTCAACACTATCAGAAGCCAATGCCTCTCTCGAAGGCAAGCTGGCATCCATGGAAGCAGAGCTTAAGCAAGCTTATGCTGACATGGCAGAAGAACAAATGAACAGCGAGAAACATATTTCTGAGCTGAATCAAGACCTTGCCAATCTTACAAGCAAGCTTGAACTGATATTATCAGAGAAAGACACAGTTGATAACAAGCTGGCCACTCTACTAACTGACATCACAGCACGTGATGAAAAGATGAAACAGATGGATGGCCACCTTAGTCAGCTTCAACTTGAGCATGCCAAGATATCAGCAGAGTCCGCTATTGTGCATGAGTCCCTGTCGGAGCTGCGGGCTCGGGTTTCTGAGCTCGAGGAACTTGTGGAGAAGCAGAACCTCGCGATCTCTGAGGGCGCCGAGGGGAAGCGTGAGGCGATTAGGCAGCTGTGCTTCACCCTTGAGCATTACCGCAGCGGGTACCAGCAGCTGCGTGAGATGCTGCAGCAGGGCCACAGGAGACCACCGATGCTGATGGCAGCCTGACCAAGTGTGTCCTTCTTGTTCCCAATATCCTTTTGTGCTTACGAATTGGGTTCTGTAGCTTTTTCAATTGAGAAGAACTCTGTTATGTCTGTGTGCAACTACAATGTAATGTGAGGATCATGTCAGTCATGGCTCGCGGAAAAAAAGCAATCATGTCCGTGGTCGTTTGCTCTTGTTACTTCTGTTACATTCTTGTCATATATTCAAGATGGTGAATTCTGTGTTTTGGTCTTTGATGATGAAACGGCGATGTTAGTTCGCCGACCTATGGCAGGTCCGAGTCAGTCTTGTATCTTTGAATCAAAGTTGAGTTTGTCAAGATACGTGAATTTTCTTGCGTATGTGTTAGAGTACGTAATGGGCCTAATGGGCCCGTTAGTTCTAGGGTTAATTAGAGATAAGAGTCGCTTGCTTAGGATCAAGTAAGCTTTGCTTGTGAGTCAAGTAAACCTCTCTA